CATTCCTAATATTGTTAACTTCTGTTTTCTGTTTTTTTGGTCATTCTAGATATAGCTTTATCAATTTTCTTGATCTTTCAGAGAACCAGCTTTGATTGTTATCACTAAACAAAGTGCTTAACTATTATACCAAATATTTGGCAGTTTTCCAGAAAACTCTGTTATTCATTTATAGTTCAAATTGGCTATGGTCAGAGAATTATTTTGTATGATTTCAATTATTTTAAGTTTAAGATTTATTTTCTGGGCAGAAAATGGTCTCTCAGTGAGTATTCCATGAAAAGATGTAAGCAATTTGTTAACATATTTATAAGTGTCGTGGAAGGGCAATGTAATTATTTACTATACAGGATAGTCTTCCTTTTCACTGTCTCTGTAAGCAATCCATTTTAACTTGCACAGCTTCCTATTATGGCTATACCAGAAATGAGTTCTTATTAGTCTCTTAACTCTGTTAGCTGTTATTTCTGGTTTACCACCTGCTTTTCTTTCTTGATTTAAGTATATTGTAGTGCTTTGCAAAATAGGTGCATACTTTGTATGCTTTTAAAATCTTTATGTTTATGAAAACATCTGTTTTTTTTTTCTTATCCTTGAATGAAAATTTGGCAGGGCATGGAATTTTAGGTTCAAAAGCTTTTCCATTAGAACTTTGTGGGCATTCCTTCTTTGTCTTTTAGTATTTGGTTCTGTATAGGAAAAGTCACATCAGTTTTATTCTTATTCTCTTAGATATTATTCTTTTGTGTGTCGGGTTTTTTTTTTTCTTCTTTTTGGTGAGGAAGATTAGCCCTGAGCTAACATCCATGCCAATCTTCCTCTACTTTATATGTGGGACGCCTGCCACAGCATGGCTTGATATGCAGTGTGTAGGTCTGCACTTGGGGTCCGAACCTGCAAACCCCGGGCCACTGAAGCGGAGCATGCAAACTTAACCACTATGCCACTGGGCCGGCCCCTCTTAGATATTCTTTTAATTGCTAAAGTGATGCTGCTATACCATAAGAAAATAGTACTTGTAACTACAGTTGTGTGTCACTTAATGACAGGGATATGTCCTGAGAAATGTGTCATGAGGTGATTTCATCATTGTGTGAACATGATAGAGTGTACTTACACAAACCTCATTGGTGTAACCTACTACACACCTAGGCGATATGGTACTAATCTTATGGGACCACTGTTGTATATGTGGTCCATCATTGGTCGAAATGTCATTATGTGGCAGACGGCTGTATTTCATCAGCAGTTTGGCTTTTAAAAAAAAATCCATATGTATTACAAAGGAATAAAATGTGTGTGTGTGTAACAGTTTTGTGTTTCTCTTTTTGGCTATATTGTGCCCATATTCAGAGCCCCCATATTAGTTCCTCTGCTTTATGTGGTGAGCTCTTCTCAACAGCTTTTGCTGAGGATACTTTTGCTGCTGTATGCTCTTTGTTAAAAAGAAAGCAAGGAATCATATAAGCTCGACTTTGATTAATTTCTGTGCCAAATCAGTGTCTACTGTCCATGTCCAGTTCCAGCCCTCTGACTCTGAGCATAGACATTTTCCTGAGCTCTCTGTTAGGACGTGTGTCCAAAAGCTGGATTCTCTTATATGATCTTATGGTCTAGATCTTCCGAAAATTTCTCAGATTGTCTTGCTTACTGATTACAGCTTTCACTGTTTTGCTGTGCTTTTATTGAGTTATTCTAACTTGGACTTTTTACATTTGAATTTTGAACCAGAACTGTCCATTATTTGTGAATCTTTCTTTCTTTGGTTTCCTAAACACTCTCCTCCTGGCCTACTCTTATATTTAGAGAAGTTTGTCAGGCTTTGTGGTCTTGGCCTAATTTTTCCTACCATCCTCTCAAATATTTCTGCTCTCACAGATTCTTCTTTTTGGATTCTTCTAGAACTCTATTTTTTCATATATATGAAAATATTATTTGTGGAAATTTACTTATATGTATATCTGCCAAATTGACAGTTCCAGCTATATGTTCTACAGTCACTTCAAGTACAACATGAACAAAATTCAACTCATTGTCTCCTTCTGCCCAACTTATTCTTTTTCTTATTTTCCCATTTTCTTTTATGGATTTCCTAGTTGCCATAGAATAATGTTAGTTGGTAAAATACAGATGTTTCCATACACCATAACCTACTCCTACTGTATAGCTAGGAGACAGGAAACTTCAATTAACATATAAGTTGGGAGATCATTATCAAAAGAGCAGAAGTAGCTTGGCGCTCACTCCAGAGCAGGAAGTCAGGAGAGTAGAGATGGTGATGTCGTAGCTGTACAAGAACTAAGGGTAAGTAGGCACCCTGCCAGACGCAGAGGCTTTCACCCTAATTGGAGAAAGATGGAGAAGAGGTCTGAGACCTGTGGTATCCAAGCACTGGCACTGGGAACAGAAAAGAAGGGACTTAGAATGTGTCCAGGAACACAGGTGGCAGCTTGGAGCAGGCAACAACTCAGGAAAAGAAGGAATCCCTGTGTGCTTAGTGAAGCAAATAAGAAAACAAGCAGCTGAAATCAGGTGTCCTAAAAAAAGAACACAGTATCAAAGAATCTAAAGACACTACCCACAATGGTGCTATTTTCTTCAAGAATGTGAACATACTACGCCAACAGAAGAGAGCTTTTGAACTAAGAACTAGAGTAAACTTTCACTCTTCCCCACCATAAAATCAACTTTTATCTTCATCTGATCATGAACAAAAAAGTTACTCAACATCCATACAATATTAATTTAAGCAGAAAATGTGATTTAACACTTTTTCAATTGATGTAAATATTCCTCCCCCAAACAAAAAGTAGAGGAAAACACAACTCTCCAAGATGAAGTAATTTCAGATAGGAAAGAACTTTAAGAATGAGAGGTTGAAGACTCACAATAGAAATGGAAAAGCAAATATAAAATATAGGTAAGTTAACTTAGGAAAAAAATAACAGAACAGAAAATCATCTCAGATACTAAAAGATTAAATTACAGTGCAGCTAACGGAGACGAAGTATGCATGAAAGTACAATACATAACACAGGAGAGGCATGGAAAGAGACCATGGTGTGGGGAAAAACAAGAATTGTCAAGGATTAGGAAGAGAGTAATAGAAATAGTAGAACGACAAAGTAGAATCCCTAAATAACAAAAACTAAAGAGTGGAAGAGAACTAATATTTAAAACTATAATCCAAGGAAACTTTCTATAAAGAAAAGAAAAACTGAGTCTACATATTGAACAGGCCCTCTGTGTGCCAGAGAGAATTGATCCAGAATGATAAACACCAAGAGAGAGTCTAATAAAACTACTAGACCCATTTAAAAGTATAGAAATAAAAGGCCCCTGAGTCTCAAGGAAAAAAAAAGACTCACTTGGCAAGGAAAGAAAATAAAATTGACATAATTCTTGTTAGCAACATATAAATATATAAAACAGGAGTTGTAGAACACTGTTTTCAAGAAAAAAGTGTGAGGCAAGAATTTCTATCTAGCCAAGATGTTCTTCCAGTGAAAATACTGCAATTCAGATTCTGTGGAATATAATAAAGCAATGATTGGAGGAAATTTCATAGCTTTAAATAGTTCTATCAATAAAAATGAAAGAATGAAAATAATTAGCATTATGGCTCTAGCCATTAACAAACCATAAAGACACTGAGGGAGTTACTCTCCCCCTTTCTCTCAGTAGTTATTAATTTCCAATTAATTACAAAGTTATGCTTCTTTCCCCCACTGCTTCTACTTTAATGTACGTATTTATTGCCCACGTCTCTTAATTTTCTAACACTCCATCTTTCTGATGTGCCATTTGCCCCTTCTACTTTAGAGTTTTCTTCTCAATTACTACCGTACTCATATAACTGTAGTGCTTACATCTATCTCTTCAGTGCCTCCCCATTATCTAAATTTGCATCTACAAAGTCAAGGGGTGGATATCCCAAAGACGTATAAGACAGTCCACATAGTGTCAAATAACAGAATATCTATTCTTGTCTGTCTTTCATATAAATACAAAAAAAGAAATAAAACTTGTCAATTTTTATTTTTTTATGTATTTTTTTATTTTTTATTATTATTTTTTTTTGGTGAGGGAGATCAGCCCTGAGCTAACATCCATCACCAATCCTCCTCTTTTTGCTGAGGAAGATTGGCCCCTGTGCTAACATCCGTACCCATCTTCCTCTACTTTAATATGGGATGCCGCCACAGCATGGCTTGACAAGTGGTGCGTCGATGCACACCTGGTATCCGAACCCCGGGCCGCCGCAGTGGAGCACGTGCACTTAACCACTACACCACCAGGCCGGCCCCATCAATTTTTAATAAACAGACTAATAGATGTAAATATATGATATATTAATAAGCAGACGTCAATTAAGGGGATATGCAAAATATATTTTCATGGTCCAAAAGAGAAATTTAGAATCACTCCATGTTCTATAACCTGACATGACTATCACCTTCTAACTAATCTTTGTCCTACACCCATCCTCATAACATATTGTCTTATTTGTAGTTTCCTAAGTGTGCCATTTTTCATGCATCCATGCCTTTGCTAGTTCTGTTTTCTTTATTCCTGAAGTTTACATTAGTCAATTTGACCACCTAATAAAATCTAACTTGATAATACAAAATGCAAATAACCATTCACATTTGTGACCATCTTGTTTCTTGTACATACTTCTGTCATAACACCTGCTGTGCCTGTTGCATGTAAGCTTTTACATCTTTGCCTCCCTGTCAGAATGTAAGCTCCTTGGTAACAGGAATAGTTGCTTTTGGTCATCTTTGTATTTCCAGCAGAGTTCCAGGCATGGAGTATATCTCAGTAAATATATATTGAACCAATATTTTCTCTCTGTATAAAGCAGGGTACAGAGTAGCAGTATATATTAACTTTCCAGAGTAAATTCTATAGTTAGCACATTAAGAGCTAGTTTACACATCTTTTCGGTGGTACTCTATTCTGATCACTTCACTCTGAACTGAAATATGTTGTTACAGGGACCAGTAACATTCAAGGATGTTACTGTGGAATTCACCAAGGAGGAGTGGCAATTACTGGATGCTGCTCAGAGGACCCTGTACAAGGAAGTGATGCAGGAGAACTATGGTCACCTACTCGCAGTGGGTGAGAAAAACTTCCCCATATGTAACTCTGAGTAGTCTGCATTTCCTTGCCCGGTTGCTGGAACATGTAAGGCCTCTGTAGAGTTGAATGGTATTAGCTTGGTTTCAGGGGTCGAAGTTGATGAATCCATTTTGGGTACCAGAAAAAATATTTGTGTCTCCACCCTCTCCATTGAAAGAATCTAAATTTGTCAAGCCTAAATGGCACCTTCATTGTTCTGCTTCTAAAACTTCACTTCCTTATCCTTCAGAGTCCCTAAATTCCAAGTATTTGTATTATTTTATTTATCTTTTCTATTAATAGGTTATCGTGTGAATAAGCCAAAAGCAGTCTTCAAGTTGAAGCAAGGAAAAGAGCCATGGATATTAGAAGTAGAATTTCCACGTCGGAACTACCCTGGTGAGTGAGAAATTATAGGGCATGTTATTAGGGAGGTGGTTGGTGCCTTTCGCCTTTTGAAATACTTTTGAGGAATCTCTTTTTTAAATACCCTATACTTTTGGAAACGACTGAGCACCCTTGACCTGCATATGTAAGCAACATAAATCACACCTCCAATTTTCATTCTCTCCACCTAAATTCCCTACTTTGCTTGACATTTGTTAATAGATTTACTTCTCTTTCCTATATACTAACTTGACTTAAACTTTTAGTTTGTCTTTTTTCTAGAATTCCCACCTACTCCCTGCCATGGAAGTATGCAACTATTATCTTAAAGTATTTATAAATCTGACATAAATTTTTTTCAAATGCCATTTTCCTCTTTTTATTAACAATGAAATGTCTTAGTTATTTTCAGCACCAGTTTTAACTTCCTATTCTCTCTTTAAACTCTAAAAGCAGATTACAAATCATTATGACTTTCATCAATTATATTATTTCAGAGTTGATACTTCCTTTTAGATGGTGTTTGTCTTTTCACACAAAATGTTGATTATCTTTCCTAAAATCTACTGCACCTTATTTGGAGTGTTATAATACTAAGATAAAAAAATAAAACAAACAAAAAGATAAGATAATCTCACTCTGCTTCCTTAAATGCTTTTCATGTATTTTCTAATTTGTACACTTATGTGTTGCTTGGACCTGGAACAATGCCTGATATATATTAGTTGTTCACTAGATATTTGTTGAAAGATTGAGTTTCAATTAACAAGAAACAGACACTATCTTCTACTCTATGCCCTTTATAGTAACTTCTGCAAGGGCTCATCCTTTCTTAAGACCAAAGCATTGGTTTTTAGGCTGAGAACTCCTAAGATTGACATCTCTAGTATCTTTGTCTTATTTGTATTCTGGTCCCATATTTTACGATCTTACAGGATAGTTCCACTGTCCTGTTCCACTGATCTAACTCCCTTCCTTCTCAGCATCAAAAGCCAGTTCTTAATTTCACATCCTCATAGTAGTTGTGTAATACGGCAAACTTATATTGCCACTAGCCTGTCATGGTAAACTTATACTGACTCACCATTACAAAATACACTTAAATTAATTTTCTGTCAAGCACTAGTCTGGCCCTTTCTTGCCTACTGCATCTTATTTCTTCTTGTGGCCCCCAAACACATGCTAATATTCATTTCATCTGCTCTCTTAAGTGTCTTCTATACATAGGATCTTACTTTGTGTGTATCCAAGTTAACCTTGCACAAGTCCCTATCAAATAACTTTCGATTTCCCCACAAATGCCATGAGTTCCAACCCCAAGCCTCTGCTCATAATTTTTCACTTTCTTTCAAGCATTTAAACATAAATATGAAGGTCAGTAAAGGTTCTAGAATGATGTTGAATAATTCATCTTTAAAAATCATGTAGTAAAGTGAAGCAGAGATGTGGGAGCTAAGATATGAAAGCAGAATAAGACTAGTGTTGAGTCATGGTAACACTGCTTTGGAGATGCAGTATTTGGCGGTCAGGATTGCAAATCTCTAGTGCTATGACCGGAAATTCACCCTGTTGTCTGGATGGCTGGCACTCTGCTTTTTTATTAACTTTCCTTTTGGATGTGTGTGCTCCTGGGTTGTCTGTCCCAGTGAAAATTAAGCCAACTAGATGGAGAGTGAAAGCCCAAGCTATAGGACTGTTCCTCTAAACATGAAGAAATTGATGTTCTGAGAAAGGTACTTTAGTGTTGACATCTAGATTGTTGTGTATGGCTAAATAGGAAGTAAAGTGGAAGTTTGTAGTCTGCTAACTACTAGGAATCCTAACACAGTAAACTAGGTTTGAGCAGATAAAGACCTATACTTTAGCTCCTTCATCCAATTTAATCTTTCCCCTGATATTCTCAGTGACTATAGTTGTCCACTAATTTTTATTATCACCCTACTTACTGTTCATTGTGCTTACTGGGCTCACAGCATTCTCTGTGAGTCCCGCATTCCTGTTCAGCAACACTTTGAATATCTTTTGTTCTCTGCTGCCTGTTTTTTTTGTCTTAACTTTCTTCTCCAAGTTTTTAAGGTCACATTTGTAAGGTGTCAGAGGTTCTTGGGTTTATAACCAGGTTTCTTCCCCTGTCTGCTATAGCAGTTTTTAGTGTTATGTTTTTTTCTAAACTAGTGGGATAGAGGAAATTCGCATTTGAAAGTTCCTTCATTTGGGGAGATTGACCTGAAGCCTAAGAATTAACCCTACGACTATAATAATGTGTTAAGATATATACAGTATTAAATTTTGGATTCCTTTGTAGAAGACATATGGAATATTCATGACCTAGGAGCAAGATACCAGGAAAGCCAAGCTGAAAACTCAAGGTAAGTTCAAGAATTCAATTTTAAGATTAGAAGCTTTGTAAGAAAGGTCTTGATGGGGTACTGGAAGTGAGAGAGCACTAGTTAATACTAAATGTGAGAAAACTAACACTGGAGCAAATTCCAAAGAATATAATCCAAATGGAAAAGCCCTTTTTCATAATAGAGACCTTCTTCAGGATCAGGAGATTCAAACTTCAAAGCAGTCTTTTGATTCTTCTGAATTTCCAATAAGGGAGGCTTTATTACACAAAGTAGAGTTCAGGCAGTTGAGAGACCCTGTGAATATAATGCAAGTGAAGGTTCCTTCTATCAAATGTTAAACCACAATGTCTGTCAGAGAATGTTCACAGTGGAGAAACCCTATGAATCTAATAAATATGGGAACATCTCTAGAATTAGTTATCAGAGTTATTTGGAAAATACCCAGAATAGATAAAAAAAAAAAAAACAAAAACGCCTTATACGTTAATGAATTTGGCAATTTCTCTCTAGGAATGGAGAACTCACAAAACATCAGAAAACTCATACTGGAGAGGAAACCTATAAATGTAATCAGTGTGGAAAGTCCTTCTGCCAGAAGTCTGCCCTCACAGAACATCAGCATACTCATTCAAAGGACAAACCCAGTGAATGTGGGAAATCTGTCTCTAGGAATGGAGACCTCACAAGACATCAGAAAACTCCTACCAGAGAGAAAACCTATGAATGTAAAGAATGTAAGAAAACTTTCTACCACCTGTCATCTCTCAGTAGACATTTGAGAACTCATGCAGGGGAGAAACCCTATGAATGTAATCAGTGTGAGAAATCCTTCTACCAGAAGCCACACCTCATGGAACATCAGAAAACACACACAGGAGAGAAACCCTACGAATGTACTGAATGTGGGAAGTTCTTCTATGTTAAGGCATACCTCATGGTACATCAGAAAACACACACAGGGGAGAAACCGTATGAATGTAAGGAATGTGGGAAATCCTTTTCCCAGAAATCACACCTCACAGTACATCAGAGAACACATACAGGGGAGAAACCCTATAAATGTAAGGAATGTGGGAAATTCTTCTCTAGAAATTCACACCTCAAAACTCATCAGAGAACCCACACAGGAGAGAAACCCTATGAGTGTAGGGAATGTGGGAAATGCTTCTACCAGAAGTCAGCCCTCACAGTACATCAGCGAACTCACACAGGGGAGAAACCCTTTGAATGTAAGAAATGTGGAAAAAACTTTTACTATAAATCAGACCTCACTAAACATGAAAGAAAACACACAGGGGAGAAGCCCTATGAATGTCATGAATGTGGTAAGTCTTTCTCTGTGAATTCAGTCCTCAGATTACATCAAAGGACTCACACAGGAGAGAAACCCTATGAATGTAAGGAATGTGGGAAGTCTTTCTCTCAGAAGTCACATTTTATCATACATCAGCGAAAACACACAGGGGAGAAACCCTATGAATGTCAGGAGTGTAGGGAAACTTTTATCCAGAGATCAAAACTCACTGCACATCAGAAGACACACACAAAGGGGAAAAGCTTATAAATAGTATGAACTGAGAAATTCTTCTGTCTGAATTTATCCTTCAGAATAATCAGATAATTCACACAAGACAAAAACCTTATAAATATCATCAGAAATTTTAGCCACAATCTTTCTTCACAGAGAGGAAATACACAGAGAAAAATTCTGTAAATCTATAAGGGAGAAATTTTTACCATATGTCAGACTTTACTAAATATCAGACAACACAGATGGGAGAAACACCACAAACTGTAAAACATGAGGGAAACCTTTCTTTCAGAAGTCATACTTTATTGTACAACATAGAAATCACACAGGAGAGAAATCCTATAAGTAAGATGAATGTCAGGAAATTTTCTGTCAGGGCAGCCATCACTAGACATCCAAAAGCTCACATGAGTGAGGATCTCCTGTCTGTATCCTGAGCATTCAGAAATCTTTTCACACCAGCTTGACTCATACTAGAACACCCAAAGGAGACAATGCAAAGATTGCGACAGATACAGAGGCCTTTATCAAGGAGTGATGTCTCAGTGAACGTTGGATCATTGATGCTGGGATAGAACCTTTACAGATATTTTAAATATGTGAAAGTTTTTAAACAGAAATTCAAAAGAGAATCTGTACTGAGGGAAACAGTTATTCAGGCACACCTTGGAGATATTGTGGGTTTGGTTCCAGACCACCACAATAAAGCGAATATCGCAGTAAAGCAAGTCACATAAACTTTTTGGTTTCTCAGTGCATATAAAAGTTATGTTTATGGTGTATTGTAGTCTGTTAAGCGTGCAGTAGCACCATGTCTTAAAAAATGTACCTACCTTAATTCTAAAGATACTTTATTGCTAAGAAATGCTAACCATCATCTGAGCCTTTAGGGAGTCATAATCCTTTTGCTGATGTAGGGTCTTGTGGAAAATGCAGTATCTGCGAGGCAAAATAAAGCGAAGCGCAATAAATCAAGGTATGCCTGTCAAAGAAGTCATGTTGCAGAGATGATTCCAAGGTTTTTTCTTTTTAAGAAACCTGCAAATGTCTGGATATATGACGCTTTTTAAAAGCACAAATTGAATAACCAGGCGACGACATTAAACGTGAAGAATCTTTTAGTATGTGTGTGAGTGTGCTACAAAACATAGATTGTGGACGTTTGATGTTCACGTGGAACCCATCCCTAATTGTACATAGGGAAATGTGTAAGCTGAGTTCAATAACTTTTGAACTAGTGACTCCTGTTGTTAATATAATGTGTATTTAAGTGTAATATTCTTTTAAAATTATAATACATCTTTTCTTCTATTTCCTGGCATTTTTAAATGGATATAGATATTGTTACTGAACTAATCCTTCAGAAGCTAAAAATGTTTTTGTAAAATTTTCAGTTGTCTCATGGTCAGCCAAATTTTATGTTAGAAACACACTTATTTTAGAAAAAGCCTGAGTTTATTTTTAAAAACAGCTAAAAACACTCTATAGTAAAAACAATGCTATGTAAAGAAATACTTTCTTACTGTTGATGTTTTAGCAGGGTGTAGAACTATCTGCATTTGTATTTTGTATGAGAGTCCTAAGTTCTTCACTACCTTTTTCCTCCTAGTAGAAGCAACATGGCTTAGTGGTTAAGAGTGTGGACTCTGGACTCCTACTTCTAGGCTCACATTCCAGCATGGGGCATGCCACATAACCTCTCTGTGCCTCAGTTTCCTTTTCTATAAAAGAGAAGTGATAAAAACAATATGTTAGGATTGCTTTGAGGTATAAATGAGTTAATATTTTTAAAGCACTTAGAATAGTGTCTGAGACACAAGAAAAGCTGTATGTTAGGTATTATCTTAATTATAATTTGTATTTCTTGAACTATGCTGCAAAAAATAAAAAAACATGTTGGCTACCAACATTCATCCCCCACTTTATTGCTGTAGTGCCTTGGTTTGGTTTGGTTGTGCATTTTCCCACAAGTGATTCAGATCTGGCCCACTGCCCGTTTTTGTAGCCTGCAAGCTAAGAATGGCTTTACATTTCCAAATGGTTGAAAAAAATCACATAATATTTTGTGACGTGAAAATTATATGATATTCAAATTTCAGTGTCCATAAATCAAGTTTTATTAGAACACTAATACAAACAAAAACCATTGGTTTCTGTTTTGCCTGTGGCTGCCTTCACACTACAAGAGTTGTCATTCTGACAGACCGTATGACCCACAGAGCCTAAGACAGTTACTATCTGGTGCTTTACAAAATTAAGTTTTTCTGTTACTTAGAGCTGAAAACATCACAGCCAGTGTACAGGTAGACTTTTATATATGGTATGTGTTTCAGAAATGATGCAGACAGCAATTTGTGGGTAAGTGGTTTTTGTGCAGTATATTTATTTTGTACATTATATGTTAAAAGCCTAATAAACATTAGATTTTTTTTTTTCAAAGAAATGTGTTTTACTTGCTGAACAGTTATAACATCAAAACAAGAAATTTCCTGATGGAATGTAGCAGTAAATGTATGAAATAAACATTGAATTGAATTATTAACTGATCCCTACCCACAGTATTCCTTTATTTTCTTCCAAGTCTATGGCCAGTTTTCCCTATATCTTTTATAATTTTCTCACTATCCCATGATAAAACACCATCTTTATGTCATACTTAACTAACTGTAACCCAATAACAAAAAAAACAAAATACCCAACTCCACCAGCTACATTACTAATAATCTACTAGTATTACTATATTACTAGTAAAATTATTTTATTACCTGCACTTCATATAAATGTCAAATGCTGCTCCAATCTAAATCCTGCCACCTTACTTCCCCTTCCTAATGAAGGTGCCTTTCATGCCTTCTTAAGCATGCCTCTCTCTGATTTGTCTGATGTTTAACACTATTGAGCACCCAGTATGATGATTCTTAGTGACTGCTTATATCTTAAGAATAAAGTATAGTATCTTAAACAATAAAGTAAACTTCCAAATACTGCATGATAAAATATTACCAATAGTCTACTCAGCTCTGACATGAACATTGCGTCTCGATAGAGGTTTAAGAGGAACGTTGATGCCTTTAGTGTTGTTCTTTATTTCAACCTGCTGTGAAAGCAAATACGTTTTCTAACTTCCTCAGGCTTCTCAATCAAAAATTAAATAGAGGGGCCGGCCCGGTGGCGCAAGCGATTAAGTGCATGCGCTCCGCTGCGGCGGCCCGGGGTTCACCAGTTTGGATCCCGGGCGCGCACCGACGCACTGCTTGTCAAGCCCTGTGGCAGCGTCCCATATAAAGTGGAGGAGGATGGGCACGGATGTTAGCCCAGGGCCAGTCTTCCTCAGCAAAAAAAGAGGAGGACTGGCAGATGTTAGCTCAGGGCTGATCTTCCTCTCCAAAAAAATAAATTAAAAATTAAATAGAAATTAATTAGTACTTTCTGGGGAGAATCCAATAGCTGTGGCAAATCTGTTATTAAGAATAAAGCCTATACTCATGAAAATAACTTTAAAAAAATAATACTCTGATAAGAATAAAATGTTCCTAGTCTCCAAATGCAGGCAAGCCTGAAACTGTTTCTTAGCCACAGCCTCAAGCCATGAATTAGTAACCACCAGAATTGATGGATCAGACACAAATGATCAGACATTGATAGCAATTAATCAGAGACTATGTTTCATCAGTAACACAGGCTTATGCAGGTCAGCAGATCTGTGACAGCCCCACTTTTCTGCAAGGCAGTCAACAGCTGCTTTACTGTGACCATACTTTGGGAAGTGGGCGAGTCAGCTACAGCCTCACTCCAGTAACTACACTTTTACCACTGAAACTCAGCCAGTCAGTCCCTAAACAATCCTGCTTTTGAAAGCCTGTCAATCCCTGAATCCCTCATTTCCCAAAACCTTGTATCATTTTGTACTTTGACTAATTAACAAGTATAGCCCTCCTTTGGGTAGTGTCATGATGGTCAAAGATAGACAATATCAATTCCTTCCCTCATGCCATTCTATTCATGAGAGAGAGACTTTTCCCATCCTCTTGAATCTGGGTTGGCCTTGTGACTTGCTCTGGCTTACTATAATGTGGCAGAAGTTCCAGGCCTACCCTGTAAGAAGCGTGGCAGCTTCCACTTTCCTTCTTGAAGCCAATCATAATGGAGAAAGTTCAACTAGTCTGAGACTCCCAAGCTGTGAAGACACTCAGGCTACCAGTGTGAAGCCCCACAATACCAGACATGTGAGTGAAGTTTTTTTTAGACCTTCCAGCCCAGCCCTATCATTGGCTAAGTGTAACCAGCCGAATGAGAGACTTCAGCCAATGCCAAGTGAAGCAGAAAAACCACCCACTCTACCCACAGAGAAACAATAAATCATTTTGGGTGTTTTTGTTACACAGTAATAGATAACTGAAACAGAAAGTGAGTAATCCAGCTTTTTGTTTTAGATACTGAATGGTTAGTCTCTTCTTTCACAGTAGTAGTTACGCAGCGTAAGTAACCCTTAGAGTTTTTGCCACTATTAATACTATAATGACAATTGTTTAATCTAATTTCTACAAAGGACTTACCCAAATACAACAGTCTTCCCTCATGAAAGAGAAGCAATCTTGGCTGAATTAGACTCTCTCATTCTGCCTAGTGTCACCCCAACTATATCCGGACCTTGACTTACATAGCAAAGAATAAACCCAAATGACACAGGGAAATTGTCCAGACTTTTTTTTTTACAATAAAGATTTTATCCAAGAGATTCAACAGGTGACCAGATCTTATTTGTAAAGTTGAGATGTGGCTTGGGACCCTCCCTCCTAGAGCTCTGGGCTATAGGGGTATCTCTAGTTGTCTGGTAAGTGGCCCCAGGTTGATTTAGGGCAGGGGAAATATTGGGTTGGTGGGAGAGAGATCAGGAGGTGGTTGGGGCTGAGACTGGTTGGTTTGCATATTAAAAACATGCACCAGGCATGTTTCCAGCCCTTTGCTATCTCTAAGAACTGGCTAGCCCAGGGAGAGGCAGTCTCTCCCTGGCCAGCAAGTTTTTTAAGATGTCAAAACATCATCAAATACAGAGAATAAAAAACACGATGAATACACTATGCTTTGAAAAAAGCTTAATGTTCCTTAGCCTAAAGTTCTATAACGATTCCTAGTGATAATGACAATGTGATCTATACCTTAAAATCACTATAAATTCTCATGAAATTGTTACTGAATGATCTGAGACTTGGCTTGAATTTTCCCCTCACAGATTCCAAATTGAGA